ATTCCATCCTTGATTCTAAATCTGTAACTATGTGGCCAAAGCTGCCAAGTTCTGCTGCTTGCTGGGGCTGGAGCATGGCCCCCTTGTTCAGTTATATCTTCACCAGCTTTCCGTTTTCCATGGTTTCCTTCACTGCCTAAGCTTGGCTGTCCTGGAACTTGCTCCGTAGACCAGGCTGGCCTTGAACTCAAGAGTTCTGCATGCCTCTGTTTCCTGAGTCCTAAGATGTCCATTGGTTTTTCCGTTGTCATTAGTGAGAAGCGTCCTCAGTCACCTCACCTGGATCTAAGCTTTTCTTTAATTCCTTTTCATAAAATGGAAGCTTAGCTTGGTGGGATCTTGCCCTGAGGTTGCTATTCCCTTAATCCATTTAATATCACTGAACACAGGATTTAGCGCCATTCCCCTTTAATCCTTGAACCACACACTTTGTATCTTTCCTTTCTAAGCTTGCTATGTTTCATCAAAACACTACTCATTAGAGTGAACCACAGGACAGAGTCTATGCTAGGCTGGTTTGAGATTTCTTTTGTCGATGCAATTAATCTAAATCTCTTCACCTTAACCTCAGGTAGACCCTTCAGACAAGGGCAAAATGCAGCCACAGTCTTTACCAAAAAACACCACAAGAACAATCTATAGGCAACATACTAAAATTCTTCTCTTCTGAAAACTCTTGAGCCAGGCCTCCAGAGTTCAAATCACCCTCAGCATCAATGTCTTCCATACTCTTACTAGAATAGGCCATTAAGCCCCACTTACAGCATTCCACTGCTTTCCAAATCCAAAGTTCCCAAATCCACATTCCTTCAAACAAAAACATAGTCTGGCTTATCATGGCAATACCCTAGTCCCTGGGGTACCAACTTCTGTTTTAGGGTTTCCATTGCTGTGAAGAGACAGCATGACCAAGGCAACTGTTATAAAGGAAAACACTTAACTGGGGCTGGCTTACAGTTTCAGAGTTTAGTCCATTATCCTCAAGGCAAGAAGCATGGCAGCGTGCAGGGAGACATGGTGTTGGAGAAGGAGTTGAGAGTCCTAAATCTTCATCCACAGGCATCAGAAGGAGACTGTGTTCCACACTGGGTGGAGCTTGAGTATAGGAGACCTCAAGGCCCACCCCCAAAGTGACACACTTCCTCCAACAAGGTCACACCTACTCCAACAAGGCCACACCTCCTAATAATGGCACTACCTATGGGCCAAGCATTCAAACATGTGAGTCTGTGGGAACATATCTATTCAAACCGCCACAAGGTGGCTTCTTCATTAGAGGACAGTTTCTGCAAAATGGAGGGGGAACGTTTGTCCTCTTTATCCTGGGGTAAGGCTGCAACTGATGGGCAATGCTAGGAGTCTGCCGCTGTCTGACTTGCTCCCCCCTGGGGAGGGTGATGTCTGTCCTTACACAGCAGCAGGAGATTGTGATTGATGACCTAGGGCTGCATGCTTTCACGGAGTGAACGGAGCGGACTCTGAATCTTCTCTACTCAGTGCGCTTGAGGTGATAGGCTTAGTAATGATCCCAATCCAACCACGGCACATTGCATGAGTCTACTGAGGTGCCACACTGTACCCTATGAACACACACTGTATTTACAACTAAGTAAAGGCATTTTAAAGAAAGAAAACATAGTACTGCCCTAGTGACATACCGCATACCAGGGCTTCCTGATGGACCAATTCTGCGGTGTCCTCGTTGTACGTCTTGGCATCACACGTCATGATCCATCAGCCTTATGGCCCTGACCAAACCTCCGCTCTCTGGAGGTGTTTTGTTTTTCCTTCTAGATTCCTGTTTATTCTTTAGACTAAAAGGGATAGGTACAGTGGGGTTCAGGGTACTGTGTGTCCACATCTTTCAGTACATCGCTGTTAGGTACATAATAAGAATTCCTCAGATTGTGGTAGTTTGACCAGTGAAGGATCCCTACAGGCCTGCATGTGTAAACTCTTGGCCTCCAGCTGGTGGTGCTGTTTGGGGATGGTTGTTGTTGTTGGAGGAGGAGGAGCCTTGCTGAAGGAACTGGGGAATTGGAGGTGGGCCTAGAGCCTTTACAGACCAGATCTGTGTCCTGCTCACCCCCTACTTCCTGGGTGCAGGTACTGTGTGACCAGGCAGCTTCCTGATCCTGTCCCCAAGCTTTCCCACCATGATGGAATGAATCCCTTTAGAATTTTAAACTAGGGCTGGTGAGATGGCTCAGTGGTTAAGAGCACTGACTGCTCTTCCAGAGGTCATGAGTTCAAATCCCAGCAACCACATGGTGGCTCACAACCATATGCAATGAGATCTGATGCCCTCTTGTGGGGTGTCTGAAGACAGCTACAGTGTACTTATAATAAATAAATAAATAAAGTTTAAAAAAAACCAAAGCAAATAAATCTTTAAAAAAAAAAGAATTTTAAACTAAGCCAAGCCCAAACAGAAACTCTTTCTCTTGTCATTTGCTCTTGTCAGGGGTATTATCTCACAGCCAGGGAAGAAAAGAGATCAAGAGATTCTCTTCCTACTTTCCTGTTTTCTTTGAACCTGGTCCAAGACCTGATAAAGAAACTATTGATGTTTTGTGAAAATCTTCTGGTCATATCTCACACCATGAGGCAAAAACTCCTGAAGGTCTGCCTTCTGCTTTCCTCTCCTCATGAGGAGGGCTTCCTCAGCTCTCTGTTTGGCTACTCACAGCTTGCTTCTGGAAGGCGGCCCTGATCACCGCTGTGCCAACTAAGCCATCCCACCTGGTGCTTTCTGGGCTGAGTGTGTCATGGCCATTCAGAAGTTCTGTGGGGTGGCTCCCGGTAGGAAGTATCGATGAGGGACTGTAAAGTGTTGATGAGGAATCATAAATATTGTTCTCTCATCTCAGATTGAATAAATGGCTCACAAGTGATGGATGAATGACAGCCAGCTTAGTTTGAACAACCTTTTGGATGAAACTAATTTAAACATGCTAGACAAAATAGAAAAAAAAAAAGAAAAAGAAAAATTAGAGAGGAAAATTCAAGGGTGGTAAGTGGCCATTGACGTTTCCGTAGAAGCTGTTGAGCCCTAACCAGCATGGCTACCAGAACCTCTAACCAGCATGTACGGTGCTTTCATCAGAGGACACTTGTCAGTCACTCTCCCATAGCACCAAGGAGAAGGCTCAGAGGGGGCTGGGGCAGTTATGGAACTGTCTCAACCTCCATGACGCTGAGTGTCACCTGGAATGTTGGGCCCTGCTGTCCTCTGACCCCTAAGTGAAGTAAGCCATACAAATGTCACATGTGGTAGGAATCTGCCCGTAGGAACTCTGCTGTAAGATGTGCGCATCAGTCTTTCTTTAAGTTAACGCCCTGATGACAGAATTTAGGTAATGATGGGGAGGAAATTTGCTCAACCATAGTTTCAGGTTGGAACCACTGAGGGAAACTTAAAAAAAAAAATGCTGTGAACATGTAACTTTCCAATCCATGACAGAACCCATTATAGCTGGCTTGGATGTAGTCTGGACACTGGTGGTTTAAAAATCACTCCAGGTAACACTTGCTTTCATATATATATATATATATAAATATATATATATATATACATATATCTGTCTGTATATATATATATGTGTATATATATATGATTACACTATATATATGTTGGGGGTCTGTGTGTAAGTACATATATATGTGTCTATACACATACTTACACATTCACACACATATATACATATCCACACACATATATATATACATACATATATATGTGTGTGTGTATGTGTGTGTACACACACACATATATGTTGGGGGTCTGTGTATGTGTGTGTATATATATATATATATACATATATATGTATATATATATATATGTGTGTGTGTGTATACACACATGTATTGGTTGGAGTCTGTGTGTATGTATATAAGTATACACATACACAAATATGTGTATGTGTATACATATATATGTATATATATATGTTGGTGTCTGTGTATATATGTATGTGTTCACACATAAACACACCTGTCTCAGCTTTCTGGGTAGCTGATATTACCGCATGTCCTCCAGGTGATTCTGTCGGTTGCTAGGGTGAGATCTGCTAACTGGTTGCCGCTGCAGCCGGTTTCTGTCTCGTGCCTCTCCCTGTCTGCTTTAGCTGTCCCTCTGTCACCTGCGTGTGCCGTGGTCTGTCTTCACAAGCTGAGTCTCCTGGGACCTTGGTTTGTGACAACTGACTGCTGTAGGTTTTGTTTGCACAGAGTTTTCGGCTGGGGATGTTCTAACTAACGAGGTTGGGAAAAGCAGCGGATACTGTAGTCCCTGTTTCTACATCTCTCCAGTGCGGCTGATAGATTCCTGTTTTGTAGGAACACCACAAAGCAAACCCTCATCCCTAACTGCTATGCTTGGTGGTATAGGTTCCTCTCGATGTTTTGTCTGTGTGAGCATCTCAGAAAGGACTGGTCTGCGGATCGTCTTCTCCCAGCTGAGAGAAAGGTGTCATGGAAGAGAAATGCCTTTACTCAGAAGTCAGACTCTTCTGTGTACCTGCAGTGTGTTGAACTACAGCTGGTGGTACAGAACAGAGACACTGATTTGGGATAAAATGAGGTAGCCAGGCACACGCTATGAAGACGGGGGGGGGGGGGGCGGCGCGGGTAAATGGCACGGCACATGGTCGACTGAAAGCTAGGAAAAACCAGGGGAAGGTAGCACTGAAGATGGCTATTGAATATGGAGCAGAGCTTTGGTTGGAGGAGGACGTGGGGAGGGATGGGCTAGCAGAAGATGTGGAAAAGACGGGGAGAGAGATGCATACGGGAACCAGCAAGTTTTCCTCCATCCCTCTTACTACCACCAGACAGGAGAGTAGAGAGTGCAGTAGAAGAGTCTCCTCTTAGTGTCGGAGAGTGGGGATGGCCAGGATGGCTGGGCTGGGCTGAGGAAGGCACTGAGCACCAGCCTGGGGAAGGGGAGCCCTGAGCTAGCCTTCAGCACCCTGTGTCTCCCGAGGCCGCTACCCACTTACGTCATCAAGGTGTCCCTGCAGTGGATATCCGAGAACTTCTTGGCTGGCTGGAACTTGTTTAACTCTTCCTCCTGCAGCTTCTGGAGTAGCTGCTGCTGCTTTTTCATGGCGTTTTCCTCTCGCAGCATGGTGAAGTAGCCGCGGCCTATCTTCACACACTGGATCAGGAAGCTGGGGGGAGGGAAAAGAATGGGATGTGGGATGGGGAGGGAGGGAGAGGGAGGGAGGGAGAGGGAGGG